TTTCAATTTGAGCAATTACTTAAAAATTAGAGCAATCTGTTGCTTTTAGTTGCCATTATAATAAATTATGGAATAAAAAATTTCCATTTATAAGATTTATGATTTGTTACGTGTTTAAATTAGCGTCATTGTTAAAACAACAAATTATGTCTTGGTTTTAGGTGGTGGAGGCAAGAGGAAAGGCAGAAGCAAAAAGTGGAAACAGATCTTGAAATTCCCACATATCACTCAATGTTTAAATATCTTAGACCAAAGCAGTAAGTGGGTGCTAGCATATTGTGCATTTAGCTACAAGATACTTTCTTTGTATTTATTGTAGCTAGATAATTTTGAAAATATTTATTGAATTAAATTGGGGTCAGACATACTTGGTAGATTGACCAGCGCTTTTATTTTTAAATTTAACCTTTTTCAAAAATAAATCTAATATTTGGAATATCTCTTCACAATTGTAAATTATGAAATTGTATACGGTGGATTTAATAATGATTTTTGTTAAATACAGGTAATTATTTATGCTAGTATAATATGATACAAATGGCAACTGGTCACACATAAATTGAATCCACCTGTAATTTAATGACTCTTGGTATATGTTTGAAATAATTTCCTTACTGTTTGTATGACATGTTTGTGACTTATTTCAGGTATAACTTACAAGTATTTAATTGAGCAACAGCCCCTAGGGTGGTTACTGTTCAGACAGTTTTGTGATACAAAGTCAGATCTGAAAATAGCCATAGGTTTCCTAGATGCTGTGGTAAGTGCCATGAATATTTCAATCAATAATGTGAAAGTTATAAGGAGATGAGATTAAAGATGGTCGCTAAGATTTCTGTTCTGTGCAGATGTATGATTGTTCATTTTTATTTATTTATTTATTTATTTATTTATTTATTTATTTATTTTTTTTTTTTTGCATGCTATACAAGCAACATTTTCATAAACTTGATTAATTGGTTTTTAGCAGAGGTAAGCACATTGTATACTAGAATGAGATGAGAATAATTATAATTGAACTCTTAATGGGCAGTTAGGTAAAAAATTTGTTGTTTCAGATTGCATTTGAAGTAGCACCAGATGAAAAAAGGAAGGAGGTAGCACAGGAAGTGTTTGAAAAATACCTCAAGCCTACGGTATGTGTATGGTTATGCCTAGAAATTGCCCACCAACTATATGTTATAATTCTTTCTATTTAATTTGTCTTTGCCTATCCTTCTTTTTTTGTGAAAGGTATTTGTCAATTGTCTGGTGTGGTTTACCATTTCACCACCATTTTTATGCACAAGGATCCCCACTGTAAGTTCAAATAGTGAAAAAAAAAGCGTGCATATTGAATACTCAGGCTGTGCTGTTCTATATACTTATATGCTGAAGACTTTTTCTTTGAAGGGGGGAGGGGTGCAGCTTTGGTTTGATTACTTAGTTGGTTATCTGATAAGATCCTTACAGTCTCACTATCAAAACAGCCAACCAACTGGTGTAGAGCTATTCCTGAATTTGCGAAAAATAAAACAAACACTTTATAAGAAAAAATGGTTATTTGAGAAGTAACCAAGACAAATGCAAAATGAAGTCTTATTAATTCTTATTTTTTGCATGGACGTTGTCTTTATAAAAGATTCAGTATAATCCAAGTTTTCTTGAAATTCACAAAAGTGCATGCGGGTATTTGGCCACTGTGAAGCAAAATTAATTTTTCCAAAAAAAAATGGATGAGCTAGTCTGTGGTTTAATAACATTGCAAGAAAGAAAAAAAAGAGAAAAAAGTTTCTCACCACAACATTAAGCAAGAAAGTTGATATTTACATAAAGCATAAGAAAGTAGTCATGTATCCCTTGCAGCTATAAAATGAAAAGGTTATCATACCATACTTGTAATCCCTACTGTAATGTAGACAAACAGTGTGAAAATGCTGATGCTGTCGTACATTATTGATTTTTGACCTGTGCCAATATGAGACATCAGCCATTGTCTGCTTGTTATAATCAATAAGTAAACAGTAAGAGAAATAATTTAAAGAAGGTCCTTTTTGTTTTAGTGTGGTAAGCTTTCACGGTGAAAGCATTTTTCTTAAAAACAGAGGTGCAAGTTCAGATTGATGAAAAATGGATTTTCACTTTAAGTGGAAAAGCTGGCTTAGCTGGCTATGAGCTTTATTCTGTTATTATCTGTGATTCATTGAAGAAACAGAATTTGTAAAAGGTATGTCTTTTATATAAAAGTTAAAGCACAAATGATGTTTTATGTTCACTTGGATTACTGAAGTTTTAGAATGAATTGTCAAAAAAATAAATAAAATAAAATAAAATAAAACCTGTAATGAAAAATTGTTAAATTTTGAATACTTTTAAATAGAATAAATATTAATCTAGAGTTACCATCACAAATAAACCCAACTTTAAGTGTCTATATATCCAAAAAATTATCTGAGATATCTTTTTATGACTATACAGTATATAAGATATGAAATGGGTGTTGCTTTACCTTGAGCACTATATAGGGTATTCAGTGAAAGCCCATAGATATCTCTAGGTTTTTATATACAGGAATATTTAAATGTGACAATCTGTGTGAAAGGACCAAGTGTACTCTGTAATTATAAGGATTGAATGGTTTATTTTGGTATCTTTGTATTTTGTAGGGTGTGTTACCAAATGGTCATAAACCTGAAAATATTGGAGTTAGAACTGAGTATCAATTGATATGTTTAAACGATTTTTTTTTTTTTTTTGGGGGGGGGGGGAGGTATACAGGTAAATCAGTTTTATCCAATCTCAGTCAAACACAAAGTAAAAGTTGTTGAATAGACTTGGATTATTCTGCTTAAGTGAGAGGCACTGGTGTATAGCAGTGTCCTTGGTTAACTTTAGTTTGAGATCAAAAGGTCGTCTTAACAAGGAAGCTGTGACGTTTGAAATAAAGTATGAATAGTGCCAAGAACGTATATTGTACCTTTAACACTCTACTTTCTGGCATTGTGTGATCTGTAATTAGTGAAGACATGCCTGTGTATATGTGTATGGAGATGTCATCTGTGCTATTTGACGTCAGCACCTGGTGCTTAGCTTGACATCATTACCGGCATGCACGCAGTTCTAACAACACCTTCACTTTCTTCAGCAATTTTGTCCCTTTCGTGGGTTCACATGAACAAGGTGGTTTATTCTACCCATATGTGGTATATGTAGTTATTGTAATTTAGATTTTCCATACGTGATTGCTTAATTTTCTGTCTGAATTGTCCTAATTATCTATATTTATACAAGACTTGTGCAAAAATTGCAGCAAAATTAAGGGCACTCCTTATAACTTAAGTTCATTTTCACATTTACTTGGAAAAAGGGAAGTTTGAAGTATATCTGGATTTTTAACAGGGTCAAAACTAAATATAAGTTATGCCCTTGCCAGTGTTATTTTTAGATATAAATTATAGATAAACAGCCTCAAGGTGGTAAGAAAATGCTACTTAGTAATTATTACTGACATTTGTTGCTGTTTTCGGCAGCAAAAGGTATATTACAAAATGATACAGGATCTTTCAGATGACATCTTTGTCAGGATTGGGAGGAAAGAAGAGATTTTGCTTTTCCCAAAATAATATGCTCATGCGACCATTGACCTATCACTGGCTGTCAATCATCAGCAACTCTAAGCCAATCAGCACGCAGCGTTTTTCAGACCCACAGGCCTTATCACCAGGCCGTCATTTTTCTGGACAATCAACATGCTTGGTGTCCTTTTAGAGTAGCAGGCTATGTGGGCACACACACACACACACACACACACACACACACACACAAAAGAAAAAGATTTCGCAAAAAAGTTGGTTTAAAAAAGCTCAATCCCTCCCCTGAATTTCTTACTTCTTTTTATAAGTTTTTTTTTTCTTTGTTTCTTGAAAAAATGTTATGCATATGTATCAGCTGGATTCTGGAACTTACGTTTAATGACAAACCCATGTTGTGGTCTAAACTTAAGACCTTTCACTTGATTATAACCGTTGGTTATCAGTTGAACATAAATTTTGGAATTCTAACAGATACATATTCCTGATTCTTAGGGTGCATTTACAATGAAACTATTGTACTAGGTAGATGGAACCAACTTCACAGGGACTCTTGCAGAATGCAATCAAATTAACAGGTAAACATGCCTGCTCCTGCTGTTGAGTAGAATACAGAAAAGCTGGTGATTACATGAGTTAGTTGTAAATAAGAGGAGGTATGTTAATCTGGGCCCTGTATCTCGAAAGATTCTCTATGTTACGCACGTGCGCGAACGTCTCAATTCCATAACTTGCCCATACTCGTCCCATTGTAGCCTCTATTTGATATAGCGATTCGCAATACGCGATGCTTTCGAGGTACGGGGCCCTGATTGCATTCAGTGAGAGTCCCTAAGAGTAGTATAGTTCCATTGTGAATTAATTCTACAGGATGCCTAAAAAATTCACTCAGTAAAAACAGGTGGTCTCATCTTCAGGCTAGATCACCATTTTTTTTACATATTACAACCACATACAATTTATTTGTAAATGCTCAAATTATGGATGTACAATTGTATCTAGCCTGCTATAAACTTCTTTTTAACAATATGCTTGCTTGTTAAAATACAGAGTGGCAAGTTTGATATTTGAGATGGGAGTGACTTACATAAGTTACATGTGCTTTTACATGCTATGTTCTGGTCTCAGGTGTGGAAATAGAATACACAAGCATGGAAAAGTGAAACAGTCACACAATAAAAAAACTTATGTTGCAAAAAAAATAAATTTTTTTTTTCAAAGAAGTATGAGAAAATTAAGTTAAGACTGAACTGGCTGAACCATAAAGTTTTTTCTTGAATTCTTAAATTCTGAAAAGTGTTTTATTTATAAGTAAAAATTTTCATTCCATATTGTACCTTTAAATCACAAGGTTTATTACACAACCATTTTTTTTCAAAATTCATAGAAATGTGTATTTTCTTTTCTAGTCTCCAGAATACATTAGTCAAATTAATAGTAACCTCAGCAGTTCTTGTGAGCAGAATATCTCGGAGGGAGACATCACAAGAGAGCAGTTCACTCCATGTGTAGAGTAAGTAACACATTGAATACATCATATTCTTGCTTTGTTACACATTATCATGTAAGCTGTGATAACACCCTTTATTTTTTCTTAAACGGAAAGAAGGAGATAGGGCTGGATGAGTGAGTTGGAGCAGTTAACGCATATTTCAAAGTGACGGCATGCAATTTGCATTTTTTTTCTTGCTTTATTTTCTACCCATAACTGTTGTAATGATTCAGTTTAGGCCATTCTCATTTCAGAAATTTATTATCAAACCTAGACAAAAAAATCAAAGATTTGCAATTACTTTAATTTAGATGAAATAAATCAGTAGATCTATTGCATAAAGATATCAATACTGTCATGCAATAAGATCGTAAATTAAATTAAGTGGGAAGGTATATATTTAAAATAAAACAAGCATGACATCATGTTTTCATTTGCTATCATGCATACAAATTATTGGATCAAATTTAATAGGTTTATAAGCACAGTTTGGGAATCTTTTTTTTTTAATAAATGACGAAAAAGGAAACAAAACTGCTGCATTTCTCATAACATTTGATTTTCTCTTTTTATTTCTAGTGTAATAAAGGAATGGTTAAGTAAAGAGCCCTTCACAGAGTTTTTAGACAGCATGTATTTTAAGAGATATCTACAGTGGAAATGGTTAGAAAGGTGAGTGGTTTGCTTTTTTATTCACCTTTGGAGAACTTACAAACTGCAAAAAGACAAGTTCTAAAAAACTTAAGCTAATTTGACTAAAATTACCGTGTGAAATATAAGACAGTTCCTCGAAATTAGACAGTAGAATGTTTTCAGTGTTCCTTTGGCCCTCGGCTGTTTTGTACCCAATTTGTTCAAATTTTACAGGTTGTTGGACTTGGCTTTAGACAATTAATCAGTCTTCTGCCTCTTGTTTCACCTTGATAATTCAGAAAGAAACTGACAAACACATTCAGTGTATAGATTTAAGCTCCTATTTCATTAATTGACATGTTTTCAATCATCAGGGAAGTGGATGAATAGCTGCACGCCAGTATACCTCTGTGCACTTGATTGCCAAAGACTTTCTGATAGGTCTTGATATTGGCAGTGGATATAAATAGAACAGACGAGCCATGAAATCAAGAAATAGATATGATTTTTTCATTGAAAAATACATTAAATGAAAACTCAAGACTTGCAAAACCATGCTGATAAATAACTTCTGCTTTTCCTTTTTATTTTTAGTTTATTTCTCATTGCCAGCCATTGAAAAAAAAAATTGATTTCTAAATCTTGTCTGGTTATTTTGATCTCTAACTACTGGCGTTGGCTTAAGTCTGACGTGGGAATAGGTCTGGCTCGTGTGGCTGTAGATCTGTGCTCCACAGGAGTCAATACTCATCCCACTGAGCAGGTGAAGGGCAGTAAATCATAGAAGTGATTACATCTGTGGAGCAGCAATAAATAGTACTGCCAGAGAATATTGACTATATAGTCTATACTGGGTCTGCCAACAATGCTTTCTAAACAATACATTGAACCGTTATCTTCTTGCTGGTCTTTTTCTGTCATCTTTTGTTTAACAAGCACGCATATATCTGTTTGTTTATGTACAAACATGCATGTTGGCATGCAACTTCGGACACTTGAAGTACAGGAACAGGCTGAAAGGATTTTTGTCGAGAATATGCATATAGTTTTTATGCGAGAGAAAAATTAAGTAGTAGTTTTACATATAAGTGGAAGAGTTTGATACCCACCCAGTGGAAGAATTTTTTGACACCCACCAACCTAAGAGTCATAGTTTGATGTGTATATACGATTGCTAGTTAATGTAAAGATATTTATATATTAGTATGTGAACATGTATTTGGCATAATGTTGAATTTTTCAGTCAACCAGTCACTAAAAATACCTTCAGAATGTATAGAGTCTTAGGCAAGGGAGGTTTTGGGGAGGTCTGTGCTTGTCAAGTTCGTGCAACTGGGAAGATGTATGCATGTAAGAAGTTAGAAAAGAAGAGGATCAAAAAGAGAAAAGGAGAGGCAATGGCGCTAAATGAAAAGCAAATTTTGCAAAAAGTAAACTCAAGATTTGTAGTAAGTGTTTGCAGGTTTTACTTTAGTTGTCTTTGATAACTTGAATAATTGAAGATTTTTCATGATTGCTTTTTTTTTCAATTTACTGATCCTTGTCTGTGTTAAATTTAATGATTTTTATGAGATGTTTGAATTGAATTAAACACTTACTTTTATGAAGTAAAAAGGAAATCGTAAAATGTAAATTATCTTTGCATGTGTTCTAATTACAGGTTAGTTTAGCCTATGCATTTGAAACAAAAGATGCCCTGTGCTTGGTGCTAACTATAATGAATGGTGGGGACCTCAAGTTTCACATTCACCATATGGGAAATCCAGGATTTGAAGAAGAACGAGTCATCTTTTATGCAGCCGAGATAGCCTGCGGGCTCTCAGACCTGCATGCAGAAAGGATAGTGTACAGGTAATGGCACGAATGCCTACTCAAAGAATAAGTATAGATAAAGACACTGACCCATTGATTTTTATAGAAAACCTAGCTGAAGTTTGTGCTGTTTTACATCTCTTGATTTAACTAACAAGGTACCTGATACCCTTTCCTACTTGTATGGATAATTCCATCAGTGACTGACTATGAGCTTTGGCTTGATGATATTAATATGGGAAGATTCCGTTAACATAAATACTGTGATTAGGGATTGGGTTTAATTGGATTGAATGTATTTTCATGTTGTGAAGTCCTTAATTGCTGTGTTATTTTTTAGGGACTTGAAACCAGAAAATATCTTATTAGATGATTTTGGTGAGTCTCATTGCCTGTCTTTTCAATGTTAAGTAACCAACTATTGATCAGTGTAGAGACTTGAGTATGGTATTATTAGGCATAATTCCAAAAAAATAAATAATTGCATTGAAATTGAATATATATGCAAGATGAGTAATCTTTTCGGATATCTCCTAGAACTGAAGGCAATGTAACAGTCACAATAATACATTTATATCAGAAAAATCTTTATTTTATTAAATTAGCCTCATTATATCAAAATGTGACTCACCCTTTGGTTCAATAAAACTTTAAAGGGCACTTAAGGATATCAGATTTGGGTCTAGCCGTGGAAATCCCAGAAGGAGAAACCATCCGGGGCAGAGTGGGCACTGTGGGATATATGGGTAGGTTCAGAATGTGGAATCCTTGGTTTTATCTTATAAACTGGGGAGAGAGGTTGGGGGGAGGGGGGAGGGAATCCTGATTTGAACATTTTAAAGGAAACTTTTTATGTTTATTTTTTTATTTATTTATATATTCTTTGGTTTCTTTTATTGTTTCCATTTATTTCAAATTGTGTATCAAAGAATGTTTTGTGGTTTGGAGTTCTAATTTTTATTGGTGAAAACAGATTTGAGGCCATCTCTTGCCATTATCAGGCTCCCTTGCATGATTGTTTTTTAATCAGTTTATGCAATTTGATCGTTGAAATCACCAAACTAGTTCAGTTTGAGACAAATGAATTGCCTCCATTCTTTTTATTATTTATTACATTAATTTATTTGTAAATTTAAATTTACATCTTTCTTTTTCATTTACCAATACTAGACTAAAATTGGTAACCATAAAATTAATATTGGTAAATATATTTAAATTGTGGAAGTAACATCAAGAATTCTTTATTTTCAGCCCCAGAAGTCATCAAAAATGAGCGCTATACATTCAGTCCTGACTGGTGGGGACTTGGGTGCATAATTTATGAGATGATTGAAGGACAAGTAAGTATAACTAAAATTTAAAAGAAAAAAGATTTTTTTTTTCTAATTTTTGCCAAGGGACTAAGCATCTTTCTTTACCTATGAGATGAGATGGCATTTTGACTCTTATTCAAAGAGCTTTGATCACCAGAATGACATACAGACGTGTGCTTCAGAAATAAAGTCAGTAATTAGATCCATGTAGCTGTCCAATCCTTATATATTAATGCTGCCTTTCCCATGTGGTGATCTTGCAAGTTAGTAGACCCAAATGTTTTTTCCAGTAGGCTCTGGTTTTTTGGTGATGTCCAAGTGTAGTTATGTACAGACACAGATGTGTCTGTACATATAGCCGTCACCTGCGTCTGTTGTCACAGTTGCCATCGTCGCTGTCGTTGCCGTGTACTTTTACTGATAACACGATAAGTGGAAAACCGTTTTACCTTTTGACTTGTTATATATTGCTTTCTTGTCATTTTATAATGTGTGTGTGTGGGTGTCTGCATAGAAGCCTGCATGTATGCATGAGAAGTGGTGTGTCTGGTTTGGTGGAATGAAAAATTTGATGCTGTCAACTGTTTTGGGAGGCAATTTTATTAATTGCTTTTCATTGCATGCCTTGGTGAAAAATGTATGCAGTATTAGGCCTGTGTGTGTGTGTGTGTGTGTGGTGAACTGCATAGATGAATGCCATCACACAGCAAACATGAATTCATAACAGTGATATCATGCAACAAGTTTGTTGTTTATTGTTCAATGCATAGTTCAAATACAAATATGTTTGAGATAAGTTGCATTGTTTATGAAGACCAAAAGCAAATTTGTTCCATTTAAGGTAAGAACCTAGATAGAATATTTAAAGAAAACTCAAAGGTTGTTGATTTACTTACTCTTTCCATTGTAGTCCATCTTTTATTTTTTACTCATGACTTTACTAAACATCGCTAAGTAATATTGTATTGCCTTCACTTTTAATCAAAACATTCCAAGCAACAGAGCCTGACCAAAACACTATAATTGCCCAGTTGTACAAAAGAAACTTGAAAGTTCACTTAATCTCATTTAAGTTATTCTGACACCAGGGAAATCAGTAGTACATAGTAGCTAGTCCACTTCATTGAAAATATTGGGTCTGGTTTACTGAAAGTAAGGAGCGGCTAATGCATGTTCTGTAGACTAATATAGCTGCTTCATTATGGTTGTCCACTGCAGATTTATCCTGGATTGAGACAGACCAATTTAGAAGTATTTGGTCTAAGAGACCCATTTCAATGAGTGTTGTTTTGTGAATCTGGACTGATGATTAGGAGTTTTGCAGTTTCATTGTGTGTCCATGTTTGGTGCTATTTACATGGGTGAATGTTTTTAGGATTATGGCCGATTTCAGGTTTCATTTTGGTCATTTTTTCATTTGGTTTGAATGCGATGAAAAGTTGCATGGTACATTTTCAGAATTTTCAGTTTTCACAACTTTCACCCATGTATTTACAGGCTACCATGCCACCCCACAACAAACAATGCACCACTGTCTTCCAATTCCCAGTCTTATCACCCGACTGATGGCCTCCATGATTTTGTGGGAACAGAAATATGAAATTCTGAATCCTAAATATGCACTAAACTTTGATACTTTATACTTCCAGGCCCCCTTTAGAGCTAGGAAGGAAAAGGTAAAAAGAGACGAAGTAGATAGGCGAGTGAAAGAAGACACTGAGTCATACTCTGAGAAGTTTTCTGAAGATGCAAGATCTATATGCATGCAGGTGAGAATAATTAGTATTGTATACTCTACATTGGTGGTCTGCTTCTTAAAAATGAGGATGGATTAGAAGAATTTTGTGTGATTTATGTGTTAATATGTGTTTTCCTGCCTTATGATTTATTTCCGTTGCAGTGAAAAGCGTAATGTAGTTGTCTTTTTACCTGTACTTTTTGATGAATTCAGTTAGTCTTTTAAAGTAAAACGGTTATTGAAATTAAATGCTAGCAAAGTTTAACCATATTATTGACCTTTCCTCTGGATTTTTCAGCTTTTACAAAAAGATCCCAAGGAGAGATTGGCTTGTGGTGCTAAAGATGTGAGGTCTCACCCCTTTTTTAAAAATATCAATTTCAAACGTTTAGAAGCAGGAATATTAGAACCACCATTTGTACCAGATGTAAGTGGAAATACATGTGTTTTTAGGAAATTATGTCAGTTTAATATGTCTTTGTATGACTTTGATAAACAGCTTTACTTTCTCAATGAAGATACTCTGCCAAGCGTGCTTTATTACTTCAAACTAGATTGGCTTAATGTGTCAGAGACAGATTTTTTGCAGTTTAAGTAGTTAATCTGTATTTGAAATGTTAAGAAAATTATTTATACAGAATAATATTGTTGTTATCCACACATTTTTTTAGCCCAGAGCCGTGTATGCTAAAGATGTGTTAGACATAGAGCAGTTTTCCACAGTGAAAGGGGTCAACCTCGACACGACAGATGATGCTTTCTACACTAGATTTAGTTCAGGGTCCGTTTCCATACCATGGCAGAATGAGGTATACATTTTTTCATGCCCACGTTGGCATTAGTATTGTTTTTTTTAAGACTGAACATTTTTTACAAAGTAAAAAAAGTTCAAAAATTGAGAAGTTGGAAAAAATTTTTCTAGCATTTTTCAGTTTCTTTGGCAGAATTAAATAGCCCTTTGCATTTAATAAACCATTGTGAACATTTTTGAGGAGTGGCATTGTTATTCATTGAATGTGTAGATCCAGTTTCCGCTGTTAATGATTGTGTTTTGACGGTGGTTTTGGTGACTTATTATGCAGTTCTCTTCAAAACATTTAGTGAAGGACGAGTTCACATGAGAACTTGATCTATTAATAGACTGACTGACACCACATAATGAACATGTTGCTTAACATTGGTTTTAAGATTCTGAGTTTTAATGTGGTGGTCTGATGATATGTAATGACAGTGAAGACCATGCCCACACAGTAGATGAGGTGAAAACAGCTTGATTTCTTTGCCCTTTTCCAAACAGATTGCTCAACAAACAGTTGGTAATGTTTAACTTAATTAATATCAACTCACATAGGTTGAAAGTGAGAAGGTGCAAGACAGTTTTATATATAATTTCAAAAATCCGGATATGTATTTAAAGATTTTAAAATTAAAAAAAGAAAACATGCATCTGAACTCACGCAGAATAGGTTATAGATAGAAATATCCATCTCATATGATGAGTATGTACCATGATTATAAGTAAATAAAAATTGATGTTCCAGATGATAGAGACTGAGTGTTACCAAGAGATGAATGTATTTGGACAAGATGGTGGTCCCTCTCCAGATTTACTAGACGATGTCCCCCCTCCTCCACCTCAGAGAGGATTCTTTGACAGGTTATTTAGGAGAAGACGGGTGAGTTTGGATAATTATGATACTTGAAATCTTGTTGTTCAGTAAAATTGGTGTATGAAACCATTTTGCTATGATTAAGCTAATAATATATTGCATTATGGCAGTGCTGTTCATTTAAGGAGTGTATGTAAATGAAAAATGACATATCTAATTTTACACCTTTGAAATAGTAGCCATGTTTAACCTCAGGATAGCTTTTCATCTTTCCCTTGTGATTTTAACTGTTTGATATTTGTATGTAAATTAGTTTGCAAGTTGGTTCAAAAGTCCTAGCTTGCTTAGACGAAAACTAGATAAAAGCAAAAGATAAGTTATGAAAGAAAAAAATATATCTGTTTGTATCCGAAAGGTTAAATTATAATACAGGAATTATGTATTAGAGGTGGATTTGCATGTTTCTTTTTTTAGTATATAATTTTGCAGGCGTGTTTAGTCATGGATATTCATAGGTTGCATGCCAGGAAGTTCATTTATATTTGATTAGGTGTGCTAAAAATAAATGTCTAACAATTAGCTGTATTAAATAAAAAGAGGGGGGGTACTCTAAGTGCTAAGCTTGTTAAGAATTAAGTGCATAGGTCATTGAGAGAGGGAAAAAAACAAAACATGTCGGAATCGATAACAAATAATTGATGTCCTAAAAAAAAAAATTGCAGTTTTATGTGCTTTCATTTGCTGAATTCCACACGTTGAAAATTTAATTGTATTGCAATTTTCACGTGCTCAGAAGGCAAAGTTTCAGCATGGCCTTACATACCCGTGTGAATTTTAAATCTTGGCTTTTTTTTATGCATTGCAGTGCCTACCTTGTGCATCAGGCTCTAAATGAAGTAAGTGTTCATTGCAGACTTGAGCTGGCTGCCTGTCTTGATGATAAAGGTGCCCTCTCTTGTTTCAGGGAGGAGCCAAAATGTTTAAGCCATTCAAACTGGAGGTATACCTTCTAGATTCCTAGAAGATGTATCCTACCAAGCTTCACCCTATGACCCGAGGAATTATTTTCATGCACAAAAAAATATGGCTAACTTAAATTTTGTCATGTCCTGTATGACATCCACTTTTATTTAACTAACCCTTACTAAAATGTATGAGGCGTTTATTTATTTATTTCATTTTATTTATTTATTTATTCATTCATTTTGGGAGTCCATTTTCCTTTGTTTCATCAAAATCTAAATAGGTGGTCTGGGGTTGTTGCAAATATGATCTTTCTTTTCTACACATCCTCTAACACCACTTCCCCCTCCTCCCTGCCAGAAATAAAAGCTTCGGTGGAAAGTGCTTATGGCTTGGTGTTGGCTTATTTGATGAGGCATGGGCAAGACAAAGGGTCCAAAAACCTAAGAGAGTCAGTTTTTTTTTTTTTTTTCAACCATCTCATTTTTCATATAAGACAATAATTGATGGTGTCACATATGTAACTGTCATTGACTTAAATTACACATTCATGTTTGGTAAGATAAACTGGAGGAGATAGGATATATGATTGTACTTTATAGTTGGGTAATTACACATTTTGAATTATGTCATTATTTAGGCAATCAGTTGAATGCATATATGTGATAAAATATATGTTCCTTTTATCTTTATTCTTTTACAGAGATTTTGCTGTATTTTTGTTTTGCATGTTTTATTTTGGTTGTCAAATAGTTTATTTATTTTATCCACTTACACCACACTTTCGTAGAAAGACATTCCTTCAGCAAGAATATTTTTAACTGTATCCAATGTATTTTTTCCAGAGAATTTTTTGTATGTGTTGGAGCAGATGGAGAGTTTGTTGTCATTATCAAATACTATGGGAAACATGAATGTAAAGTAGTTTTTGGAATTAAAAAAAAAAACGACAAAAAAAAGTGTATAAAGGTGCCTGTAAGAATGTCAATTTACTGTCTGCAATTGGTGAAAGGTTGTTTTAGTGCTTTAAGGCATTTCTTCCAGGTTCCCAGTATCCATTTTGTGTAGGAATTTTCGGATCCTGGTTGCTTATTAGAAGATCACTTTCTCTGCATGCATATATATACTGAACATAAACATACAAGTAACAAAAAAGTTTGTTTGCATTTATTTATGTATTTATTTTTATTATTATTATTATTATTAATATTTTGAAAATGTCCTTTTCTGTTATTTCTAGTTACAAGAGCTGTCATGACATCTGACACCCAAGTGCTGTTGTTTCTGATCTCTAAACCTGTGACACACTGGCTATATGAATGTGGTCCTGTGCTCATCCATTCCATGCATTGCCAGCATGCTGCACTCGTGTACTCCTGAAGTCATACCAGTATAAACCCTGTCGAACCAACCATGGAGCATTATATTGCACATCACTCAGGCACCCGCGTCTGTCTACTCCTATCATTTCAAACGGAGACTGTGTGACGTTGTGTTTATAACTGTTATTTATTCCTTTAAAACTATTGCACAATCAGACCAGAAGGGCATCTCTTCCCCCCCACTGAGTGAGGGTTATTCTTAGGGGCAGAAGAGGCCACCAAAGAACAAGAACAAGAACATCGGCTGTTCAACACTAGATGTCACTGTGGATCAAACGGTATAATACGCCATTGGCAAAAAAATGGTGGAGGAAGTGGAGGGCACACTGACGCCACTGGAGGAGGATCTGAAGCTCTGAAACCATGAAGTCAAAAGTATTATACAGTGGAACAATTTCCATGGCACAATTTTTTTTTTATCTGTATCTGTGTGTGTTTATTGAGGCAAGTTCCCATGCCTAATGGATGTACCATTTCATTTCTATTGTATTGTTTCTCTAATGATCAATGATAGCACACTAGGTATCAAGATAGTGTAAATGTGTTAACATTTATTAGGTTTGACTCTTGGTAGGTAAGGTAGGTAGATGAAAATTACTTGTAATAACTAAATTATTCATCTTGTCAAGAGACATAAGTACAATTTATATTATGTGTGGTATCTTCATAATTGAATATTTTGCTATGAATAAAAGGCCTTTGTAAAATACTAAATGTTATTGTCAAAGACAGAGCAAGATTTGGCATCATGGCAGTTAAACAGCTATAAAAATAATTTAGGGTTTGTTATTTATTCATTTCTGTTGAAACACAGAAAACTTTTCACAAGGCAACCTCAAAGATTTGTGAAAAGTTTGTTTGATCAGTAGCGCTGTTTTATTTTTATGTGCAGTCACAGTAGTAACTGGACATATAGCCATCATCGTCATGTCTGCATCACCTGAGATGGAAATCTCAAAGTCACCGTTTTGCCTATAGCAAATTTGAGTTTCCTTAGAGACAAAAATGCAGTGTATGGATTAAAAATGGTTCAATTGGAATTTTCTTTTTTCAGCTTGTGCATCAACATTGTCTCAGTAATGTCTAATAAACTACTAATCCGTTTACTTCAATTTTGCTGAAGTCACCTGTAGGATTAAAATGGAGATCATTGCCTTGAATAGACCTGTGTTTTTTTGTTGTTTTTTTTTAACCTTATCCCGCCACTTTTTGTAATCATTACCATGTGTTTCCCTTTTGTTGCAATGCTGCTATGGGATTATATTGAAAGTAGACATTTTTAATTTTTTACAACTTGTTGTAATCAGTTAGATCACAATTGAGGTCAATGCAGAGAGTAGCCCTGGTTCGTTCATTCATTTACTTTTTTATTGCATGCATGATTTCTAGCATGTGTTAAACTGTATTGCAATTTTGCTTGTTGACTATCTGGAAAAATTGTTTTCTTTCATACCTGCTGGAAGCATTTGGGCTAAAATACAGGTTAAGCTAAATTAAGAGTTGGTTTCATCAAATAAATATTTTCGCCTTTTTATAAAACTGTATGTTTAGTTTGCATTGTGGCCTAGTCCTTTGTCAATTCTGAGTATTTTCTGAAATGTGCTATTACCTAATGACTTGATTCTTATGCTGGGCTGTACATATGCCAGCTTTTGCTGGCTAATATTCATATGGATTGACTTTTGAGAACTTGATCAATGAGATTTTAGATCTGTATGATGTTCTTTATTTTGTCTTTTATTCATAAATTAAGTTTTAAAAAAAGAGAAGGAAAACTTAATGAAAATAGTCCCAATCATCCAAAAATTTTTTTGAATTCCTAGTTTTCAGATTTCCTTTAAATTTATCCATAACTTAGCTTCATCTGCTGTAGCTGTAATTTTGCAATGGTGGTTATTCTTTTGGATATTTATCAAAACTGATTTTAAACTGGTGCTTATTAGTTATGACAGTGATTCACAATTCACCAGTGAGTCTTCACACAGTGAGTTGCTTATCAATGTTCAATTTGTTGAGCGTCCTCCATAGTAAATATAAGGGTGGAATTGTTATAATTGAATATCTGGTGCTTTCCTTATAGGTACTAATTTGAAAAACTATGTATTAAAATATGTTAAATTATTCATAAAGTTGAATAATTTCAAACTTAATTTGAATAAGCAAGCAAATGTTATATTTTCTATAATTCATTTGTAGTGCTATTTTTGCATGAAAGAGGTATTGCATAGGTTGTCTTTGTAAAAGTTAGCTCAGGTGCAAAGGAGGAAGGGACTCAATTAACTTAATATGAGAAGAAAGGGCAGCTTATTTTCTCTTAGTCAAAATAAGTCTGATAACCCCATCTTCTTTGTTGGGACATTATTTTTACAAAGTTGAAAATATTGTAGATTCTCTTGATTTACTAAATATTGTAGTTATGTATTGTGAAAGGAAAACAGAGAAAACAGATCCAACTCTTTATATTGATGTTATTCTCAATCCTTTTGGTGTTTTAGTAAATTCAAAAGTGTAAGTGTCAACAGAGAGATGTTGTTAAGATATATCATTACCAGTTTTATATATCTAAATGTTTCAATTTGTGCATTACGAAGTAGCATTGTGAATTGCAAAATACAAAAGCATGTTATAATAAGTATGAATTGAATGGTTGGATATCACCAGGAGCTATACCCCAAAACACAAATCCTAAGGTACATTATACCCACTGAAATCCAGTGTACTCCATTACTGGGGATTGTGGTATAACATTATATTAGATAAGGTGACTTTTACAGAGATCAACCTGTCTTCTAAGCTAAGTGCATTTTGCAGTCTATTAGTGAGACTTAAATATTTAAATTGTGAGTAAAAAAATATGAAATACTCGATGCTATTACAAAATTGAATAATTGTAAGAAAACTGAGACAGTCATCTTTGTAGCTTCATGTACAAACAGATGAAAACTCTCAGCCTCGCCTTTTGAAAACACTCAGCAAAGTACAATCTTGATAATATATATTTCGGTGTTTTGTAAAATTTGCAAAATTAAGGTTAGCCATGCACCCAAATATTAATACTGAATATATTGATTTTGTCTCATTTTATGCTTTTTTGTTGTCACTGTCTTATTTCATAGCAGAGTCTAACTGGTCAACTTAGCAGTGCTAGCTGTATATGTGTATAATGAGCAGCTATATCCTAATAAATATAAGCATGAACAACATGTAAGAGAGCTTTTCCATTGCCTAGTGTGCATTGCCGAAACATACTAATATATGAGCCATAGAATTGGATAAGGTGCTTCACTTATAGTCATGAAATACAGTAAATGGTTGTTGGATCCGAAGTCGTGTTTTTGAATGAAGTTTTGTCTCGGTGAAAATTAGTCCGATAACACAGTCCCCTTTGTTTAAGTATTACTTTTACAGACAACAATGAAAATATTGTAGACTTTCTTGATACACAAAATATTATAGCAATGCAAGATTATGATTTCGGTAGAGTAAGAATATCCATTGATAAATATGTGCAACTTTTGTGTAATAGTTATTTTGTGGACACTTGTATGAAAACCCTCAGAAGATTTGAGAAATTTTCCAAATAGGAGTATATCAACTCTTTTTTTTTTCTTTTTTTTTTTTTTTTAATTATTGGGAAGCAGTTAAACCACATTGATAATATAGTACATTGTAGCTAATATTGTACAAAGCAAGGTATTTGTGGGATGAGGATAAAGCAAGGCAGGTCACTTTGCTTTCAATTCATCTAGGTGTTATTAGGTATATTTATGTATGATAAGTAGTGTTTTAAATCAATCTATTTATTCTGTAGTATTGTAATATTGAGAATTATTGTGTTATTTATATTCATTCAGAACATACGTGTACATGTTTCGATAATTATACAATCTTGTGTTCTTGTATAACCATACAAATTATGAAAGATATTCAGTTCAGTTTATATTTTTCAGCACTTTGCAATTTTTTCTAGGAACAGAGGTTTGCCTTGGGCCATCATAGCAAATGTTATGACGTAAAGTCAGCTCATGATTAGGGTTTTGTTTCAATATAATCTCAACTTCTGTGGACAAAAAAGAAGTAAAAGTTGCTTGTCAGTTCAACTAGCTGCTACACTATTGATGAAAAAAAGATAAAAAATCAGAAATTAATATTGAGATGGTAATGAGATTGACATTCAGAGTAGTTTTGATTAACAAAAAAAATATAACTGCAAATAATTTGTGTTGGAGATTGGGTATAGTGTACAGGCATTGGCAGCACCATTAAGCTGGCTAAACAATATAGGGTTATGGTATGTGCGTAATATAAAAATGTCCTGGGACTTTTTTTTATTCTCACTGAAAGTAAGAACTGTTATGCCACTATTTGGTTAGTTTCTAAAAAGAATATTGAAAGGCAGTCATAACATAGAGCTGGAACCAAACTGAATGAATGGAACACTATTTTTGTACTGTTGTTTTATTTATCTATTATTAATATTATTATTATTATTATTATTAAGTCTTGTAGAGTACTTGTGTAATACATTGTGCAGTCATCTTCCATTATAGTGTCATGTTACGGAAGTTTCAATCAACTCAAATAAAATTTGTTTTATATGACAATACCTTTGAGTTTTTTTCCTTATTAATTAAGAGCAATGTTGTAAGACACCGGAATATCAATTTGCAGTTTTCAACAAAACTATCGATTTGCAAGGTGGATCCCAAGATGATATATAAAACCGGAATTACTAAATAGGTCTGGTGCAGGGGACCAAAACAACTGATACATGGCCATCAAGGGGAAATAAGTAAAGTTTTAGTGGATTATTGGTGACACACACTGGTCATTTAAATTGCATGAACTCCAGAAAAGACGTCCATTTAATGTAAGTTAATTTGATATCTTTTATTTCCAAGAATAATTCAGCAAGATATATTTTAATATCGAGTTGCTGAAGCAGCATGTGGTTTGGGCGCCATGGTTTGAGGGACCCAGTCTTAATGCAAGCAGTTTTATCAAACTTGGCCACACACATCTACACTGCAAAGAGTATATCCCTGTTTTTAATTTTTTTTTTTAGACTTGTCTCAGACAACATAATCCTAGGTTTATAATAGTATTTGGACAAATTTTAAGCAGATTATTTGTCCAAGCATCATTATAGCATTCCTGTGTAGAGGAAGAACCATGGCCGCATTCAGAACAGTGGACTAACTAGTCCGCGGGTCAATTATGGCCGACCCACTTGAATACTTCCCCACACAGAATCTATTCTGATATTCAGTGTCTATGGGCAGATTAGATGGCAAGCTTTTTAGTGGGTTGCCATATTTGATCTGCAGACAAGTTAGTTCACTGTTCTGAATGCTGTCCATGTCTAAGCCAGCAGTCTGGTCAGGTTGTTTGGTCACAATCTGGCACGGCAACATACCACTGCATTGAGAAGATAATCCCTCAGCTGCCTTAATTAAAGACTGGGCTCAGACAACATAATCTTGGCATCATCTTCCTGTCTGTCTGGCCTGGCCATCAGGCCTGTAGCCAGGGGGTGGGGGGGTGGGGGTTCAAGGGGTTTGAAAGAACCCCCCATTTTGCCGGGAAAAGGTACCCGCTGGGTAAAATTTTATCTAGGTACACGAAGGTTTTGTGGTAAAAGGTTCACTTTTTCAGAAAAAAAACACTCCTTTTAAAATTGCTTGCTATGGGCCTGTGCATTGATGTGTAGACCAAGGCCTGATGTTAGCACAAATGATTTGTATTTTAATAATCACTGCCCTGTATCATAGAATGCAGGTCAATTACATCTATTACTTCCCCCCCCCCCCCCCATAGTTTCCCCTTCTGAAAAATGTGAAAAAAAAAGCATCATTCTTACTTTTTAAAATCTTACTGAAAATACAACTGTTATAATTTTAAAGACTTTTTGGGTAGCAAAAGTTTGTTTTTTTTTAAATGTCATTTGAAAACCGATAAGGAGTACCAAAAATCTGCTTGGTCACTTGCTACAAAGGTATGCATACCAGGAGTGTTAAGATCTTCAATGTAGTTGAAAATGTGCAGTAGACAATTTGCAATGTTCTGCAACTGATAACTCACAATGTGTTTGTTGTGATAATATTGGATGTGCTTTTCATGGCAAGTTTGTTTTACATCAGTGGGTCCTTGGAAGCAAGCCGACCCCCTCCCCCCCCCCCCCTTGTTGGGTTCAGGGCCCAGTAAAGGAGCCTGAAAATTTTGTTTTGTAGAGGGCAAACAATGCCATTTGGTACAGTTACAGACTATGATTCAGCTAGTCAAAATTCTAATTTGGTGTTATTTTTTTCAGAAATCAAGAGGGGGGGGTCAGAACCCCCCTGACACGCCCCTTAATCCACCACTGATATGAGTTTTAAAGCTTGAGGACACTGGAAACCCACGTCTCCTCTATCAGCACGTCTCTACTTTTCCCAGATACTTCACAATGATGGCAAGTTTCCGATGACCTCCCAAGCTCTTGGTGCATTAATAATGGGACTGTTAACCAAATGAGTTCCTAAAGGAAATTCAGATTATGAAAATTAACACCTTGAATTACATTGTATCTTTTATTAGAAATATAAATTTACACATTTTATCACTGATTTTACAAAAATAAACATATTTTAATACAATTGTGAGCAATGACAAGCAATTGTGCTCCAATGTTTAAACATGAAATTTGTCGTACTAAAAACTGGTGGATATATAATTTTTATGATGTTTATGCTCATAATGGCACCTGATGTAAATATAACAACCCCAACAATTTAGAATTCTTGATCAAGCATGTAATTCCAGGCCCGTAGCCAAGGGGGAGAGGGGGGGGGGGAAATAAGTAAAAGTTGATAGCAATAAGTAAAAGCTCCACTTTTTCAAAATAATAAAATTACTGGCTACAGGCCTGTGTACCATATAGCACACAAGGACACAACCATTAACTTCTTTATCAGTGGTAAAAAAATTAATTAAATTAAGAAAGACCAACTAAACCACTAAAAATTTATATTGATAACTGAGTAAGACATTTCTTCTATATGAAAACCTCAAAGAGAATAACCAACAGTAATGATATCAATTATATGTGATTGGAAACACTGCATCTATCATCTGTTATCTAATAACCCCATATGAATGTGATTAAACACCAAAGTAAAAACTATCAAAGGAAATGACAATATTCTGTAAATTTGGCACTGTACTTGATGATTCATAGAATATGACAATTATCACCAGTCACTTGAGAAATCATGAGCGCTGTTATGCTAGGTACGTTATACATGACAGTAATACTTAGTAAATTTCAGCAGAGTATATGGTAATGAATATTAATATACAACATCTTTGTGACATACCTCTGGCTGCAGACAATAAATCACATCATGTGTCATATATTATAGCCAGTAGTGCATCTTTTTATTCAGTGTAAATCAAACTTTGTCTGGATGCTAATTTAATTCAATTTACACTTATTTTTTCTTATTCTGACCTTAATTACCAGTACAACAGGTTTGAAAAATGACTAACATGTTTTAAAATAAAGCATACTGGGTACAGGACCATGAAACACTACTATTTCAACTCTGTTTTTGCTGTTCTTTTTCATTCTTTGGACTCATGAGCATCCTTACAGCCTGCAGACCCCAGAGACATGCAGAAAACAGAAAATACCACTGGATCAAGTGCTGCCAGACTGGACGCTCCTCCAACCTGCCCCTCGTGAGGTAAAGATCACAAGCAACAAACAGCACACAGCGAAAACACTCCAGGAAAGGCGCATAATATCTACAACAAAAATTATGGAAAATAAAGAACAGACAGAAAAATAAAGGTAAGAGGTTGCTTAATTAAAAAGGTACAATACTGGTATGATGTACTACAGGAATCATTATATTTGTAGAAGAGTTAAAACTGTTCAGTCTTTTCCAGTGTGGCAAGGAAATTTTTTCAAGAAATGTCTAAATTACCTGTTATCAAATAGTGCTCCAAAACACGTCAGAGACAGCACAATGTAAGCAATGAAACATGCAACATTTAGTTGACTTAATCCCTAAAAAGAAAAGAAGGCACAAATTTCAATGAGTTACAGGTTAAGAGGTGTACTTTTTCTTCTTCATCGTACTGCTGAAACCTTATTTCACTATCATGGATTTATATGCTGGCATGTTCTTTAGCATCATATATGTTCTCGTGGTTTAAATACTGATCATTCAAAGTGTTTGTGTCCAGTGTAAAAGCACCATTGTGCTCATTCTGATTTTTTTTTTTTTCAAATAAAAAATTTTCATAAGATTTTCTTGTTGTTAAAAATTCAGAGATCACTTACACTTTTCCTAGCTACCAGTTCCTGGTAACCAATCAAAACCAGCAAATAATGACTCAGCACAAATAAACTCAATGACAAAGGCAGTCCACTGTCATACTTCTTTACAGGTGCCTTTACCTAAAATAGACATTAAATACTTTCGACAAAATTGATAAATATTATTGTCTTCTGTGACAAATAAACTGCTGACAGACAGTACATGATTGACAAGGTCATATTTGATCCACGGATCTGTAAGTTTGCTGTACGTTCTGAATGCATTCTAAGGGTGCTAGTACGAAGGATAGCTACACAGTATCTTCAAGTCTCAACCCACTGGCCATATAAGCAATAGCATTTCTCATAAAATATCACATCTGAGATTTAAATGACAAAAATGCATTTACCTACTCAGTACACTGTATTTGTCCTGATGAAGTACCAGTTTACTTACCTTTGGAATGTCTTCTATGTTCCCAAGCCTAGGTTTACCAGGTGCCCAACCTGGTCCTTTAACTAGGGATGAGACCTTGTCACTTAGATTGTCAAATTCCCATAATCTGCTCCACAAATATTTTACATAACCAAACTAAAAATTAAAAGATGGAAACAATATCAACAGAGAGCTTGACATACACTTTTACACCAGACTGTGCTGGTGGAAACGATCTGTGATAAATAATAATTATATGCTCTTTTTCCATATACAGCTTTATCACATAGGAGAAAAAAAATTTACAGCTCGAGCAGTTCACTGGCGGATTTATATATGTACATATAAAACAAACCTGTGCTTCTATAGGGTTAAATGTGTTGATTGGGTGTGTGAGTCCGTACACCACCTCCTCATTCTCAGCCTGGAAGGTTCCGAACAGACGGTCCCAAATTATTAGAGTCCCAGCATAGTTTTTGTCTATACAGTATGGATTCCTGCCATGGTGAACTCGATGGTGACTTGGGGTGTTCAAAATCCACTCGAGGGGCCCTAAGGATTTTATCATCTGTAAGAACAAAATGCTCAATTATACTGTAAATACTACAAATGAGAAACAAATGCAGAACACGATAATTATTACAAAGATTAATACAATATTTATAATAAATGCGTATCAATATTCAAATATGTGTAATAAATATGTTGCCATCATCCCAATTTGTAAAGAGGCAAACTTTTGATGTCATCTAAATGGAATAAAACCTGTCTGATAACGTATATTGGGGTGCAAATTAATTAAACAGAGAACATATGTAAAATATGTAGTGTGAAAAATTTATGTAAAAGCAAATTTTAACAATTTTTTGATAAAAGTTCAAGGAAGAGAAGTTATTTAGTCAAAAACACAAAATAATACATAATAGTATATATACATTGTAACTTACCAGAGTATGAATCCAAAACTGATAAATTGTATTAAATTCAACATGCATAAGATATATGGACGGTGGGACACACAACGCTAAAGGCAAATAAAATATCTGAAAGCAGGATTATGAAGAGAAAAATCAAGCAAAAAATTTTTCGTGATATACCTCATTGTGTATCCAAAACTGGTAGAGAATATTAAACTGGAGGTGAGCTACAAAAATTGCTGGAGGAACAATCAAGGCTAAAGGAAGGTAAAATACCTGAAATGTAATTTCATGAAACAAAGTTTCAATTGCGCATATCCAAATATTAATTTGATATAAAAGTTCTAAATTGATGAAAGGTCAATCTATCTCCCAAATTAATGTGAACATATGGATTTCGTTAAGGTTGACAAAATGACCAAAAGAAAACTGAACTTTACCGATTAAAATCTAAGAATACACAGTTTTTTAAATATATTTATGTATTCAATATTCTTGTGTACCATTTAAGTCATATTTACTATCAAAATAAAAATAACCACTGTACAGTAAAAACTGATAAATTAAAAAAATATATTTTACTGACAATTCAACTGGCTAGGATACAGAAAATCAATATGATAATAACTAGTCACAATTATACTTTTCTAACAAGTTTGATACTAAATCCTGTCAACTTACCCAAGAGAGGTACCTCTGCAAAATTGACTGTCTCAAAGCTGTGCTCAGGTTGTAGTCCTCAGCACTGTGGTGAGTCTGGTGGGATGCCCACATAAAGTTGACCTCTGAAAATAACCCAGATATCATTTCAATCCAACAGCATCATAGGAAACAAAAAAAAAAAAATTCATCTGTTCAGGTTTAAGTTGTACATGCAAAAAGATAACAAAAATGAGTTGTCTTTTGTAAAAAATGGACAAAAAATAGAAGAATCAGTTGTTGCATCTCTAGATAAAGACATAATATAAAAAAATTAAGAGTATACAGAATTGCTGCATTTTTATCATTTAAATGATTGCATTATTATTTTCTTCTGAATACATGTATGAAAATGTCTTTACCATGTGCCATTCTATGAAACCAGTAATAGCCGAAGTCAACAGCAATGAAGCACAGCCACCAAGTCCAGGCAGAGTTCCACGGCAGTTCATAGAGACAGAATCTTTCATGTACCCAAACATATCCAGTTATTTCAATTCCTCTCATCAATAACCTATAATTGTCAATTAATATAAATCATTTAACAGACCTTCAAGATGGGACACACTTGTTATCCAGTCAGGAAAGTGGGGAACAACTAAGTCCCATGTGCTCAGAATTTGTATACTGCTCAGTAGATGTTCAAATGGAATATGAAAACTGACCAATAATTGAAAATCTGACTAATCAGTCTGTAGGGCCTCTGTCAATCATCTTTTTTCTTTTCATTTCTTTTAACCAAATTTCTCTACCCATGTATAATTTGTTATTGTATTTTGAAAGTTTTGTGTATGAGGGTTAATTTCAAGTAAAAAAATATAATGGAACAAACCAACAATACAACATGATAAAAGTATAGTGAGATATAATAAGTAGCAATTTTCATATTTATATATATTATATTTTCATAATAACAAACTGGTTAAGATAATCTTCTGCATGCTTTGGAGAACTTTTTTACTCACAATGGTAAAAGTGAAATTAAGCCAGCTCCAGCTGAAGTAATGGCATCGTTTATCCGTAAAACCTGCTTGCCTGTTAACAGCCCGACCACCACTTCCAAGGCAACAGCAAATACAAAGAATGGAACAGCCTATGTATGGTAAGAAAAGTCTTCTAACGATGATAAAAATTTGATTGTTTTCTTCAGAAATTAAGCATCATTAATGTTATCAAAGTACTGGTACTTTGATGAAAGGCTAAATTGATATCATACTTCGATGGTGAGAATTATATAATTCTTTGGTCTCTTTAGAAAATAATTAACTTTTTAGGAACCTTTAAGTGATTTGCAATAAAAAATAGATACTGAAATTCTGAACAAATGTTATGAACTGCAATATACTGCATGATAACAAAACACATGGAGTAAATAAAATTAACAATTTAACACACTACTGCATGTACTGTATAGTGCACTAGCTGTTACATGTACAACATACACATGGACATTATTTATTATTATTTTATTATAAAATTTTAAGAAGGAAAATATCATCACTGCATGCCTTCACACAGCTATCTGAACTATTTGAACTTTGCCATCGGTAACTGCTTGCCCTTTATACTTAGTGATAAATGCACTATATATGTGCCAGTGCACAGTTGCATAACAACATTCTAGACAGTAGCATTACTGATCGCTATGTATATTTACTGTTTTTACACGACAGCTTATTACTTACATCCTCGATGTAACGAGGGACATCATCAACATTTTCAAATGACGTTTCATTAGGTGTAACGGCATAAAACAGCCACCTAATCCCAGTGGACATAGGCACCTTCATAAAAGCCGTCATCTTGCGGGTGTTGTGTTGATAGCGAGTGCCCTGATTGTGTATTGACCTATTTTGAAAGATCAGGTCAAGGTCACGTATGAAGGGAACGGAAGATTTGACACAGATAAGGAGCGCGAACTGCTGTTTGTCAATACCCTTTCCACAAATGTAAACTGAGTACAAAAATTTTAATGCTGCTGAGTATCACAACAGAACATGTGTCAAATCAACAGGGTTTGGAAGTGCTGACATATGCTCTGCAATGACGGAAGTCGCCTGTACCCAACACCTCACTTGACATTTGATTTGACAGGTACAGTAGGGCATTGTGAATATATTGATACTATCTATTCATTTCATCATTAACCCAATGTATGGAACAATGTGTATAAATATGTCTTTTAAACTTCTCTATTTGTTTTTTATTATATACAAGTTTTGATTAGTTTGTGCGTATATGTGGGTGGGAGGGGGAAGTATCCTGTATTCTGATGCATTGCTTTTTGGCATAGGCGATAGCTTTAAGAAATTCGATCAGTTGTTAAAAAATACATGTCATTTACCTTGAAAATAAGTATGACTATTAACATAAATTAAGTTATCTGTTGTGTTAAGTTTACGAGGTATTTTGAGTTCATATCTCAATATTAATTGTTACTAGAAGTAAAATGTAATGGTAATGATTTTCTTTAAAAATATTAAAATGAAAAATCTTTAACGATTAAAATAGCAAATAAATAAATAGATAAATAAATATAGATATATAAATAAATAAATAAAATGCTCCTGTCATCTAAATTTGAGTATCTACTGTGCAAATGTCTTTATACTGGTATATATACTGAGTATTTAGGTACATGTATATTTGTTTAGGTATATTTACAAATAGTCTGAATACATTTACTCTTACCAGGGAAACCGGAAGACATACAGCTGATGCAAGAAAGAAATGACCAGCAAGTTGCTGCACATTCCTGGCAGTGCAGGCTTGCCTGTGGTTGGGGACAAGTCTTATGAATACTACAAAGATGCTGTGCAGTTTGTTCTGAAAAGAATTGACCAGCATCACTCCCGTATATTTATCTCAAGATTACTAAATACACCTACAGTGTTTGTTGCAGATCATTCTATGGTGAATGAACTGCTAAAAGGTACATATGGCTTACAAATGTAATTATTTATCTTGAACATGTTTTCTCCATTTCTATAATGTTGATTATTGTCATTTTTCTTACAAAAAAAGTTGAAGGAATACATGTTTGAAAAAATGGTTTAAAACTATCATTCAGGTGTGGCTTAAATTCACTTGTTTGGCCATTTGCACAAGTGAATGGCATTCTAGTATTTTAATACTAAAATGACTACTGCAGGTGGGCATTAAAAAAGCCCGTTATCTGAGGTTATTTTAACTTTTATGCAATATAAATTGTACTCATGTGCAATTTTTCTGTGTGCCCATGCGACATTAAATGTATGTGATATTTTCCTTCAGATCATGGAGAACATTTAGAATTTGGTTACAAAGTATTTATGCACAATGTTCTAGGGGATAACATCTTATTTGCCAATGGTATGTATACATGAATGTCCTAAATTCCTTTGGAAGATGTAAAGAAAGTGTTAGAATGCTTAAATCTTTATCTTAAAAATATGCAAATATGTGTTAAAATGAATAAATTATTGTCTAAAATTTTATTATTGGTAAAAACTTTATAAAATGTGACTGTCTGCACTGTTATTTTGGTTAATAATTTGTTTTAAATGTTATGTATCTACTTGATGCAGGATATACTTTTGCTGAATACTTTTTTTCTTTGTCAGGAGAAGAAGCTGATAACATTCGGAAAATTTTTCATAGGTTGCTTGATGAAACAACAGTAGGCCATTTTCAAGATATAGTTGAAAGGTAAATAGACATTTAAATTGTAGTCAGTATTATAAAATCATTTCTTCTTTTCATCACAATGATTTATATGATTTATTAAAAAGTGACCCATTATGTTTCTGATTATTTATTTTCCTATTTCAGGTTAGTAGAAAAGCACTTACAAGGTGTAGAAACAAGGTATGACAAATTGATAATTATACATAAAAAACTACGCATGAATAATGACAAAAGAGAAAAAATGCAATTAATTTTAAATATCTATATTCAGTTCTATGAGGTACATAGTCATTTTTTCTTGCAATTGTTAAGTGTTCAGTGGTCATGTAAAAATTAAAGAGACTATTAAATTATTGATATGTTTAATGATTTTAATTATACCCAAAATAAAAATACCATTGATTGAATAACACACGTCAGCATCTGTTCTAATGTGATTTTAATAATTGCTTGTTCCAGGGAGACAATATGTGCTTACACAATGGTGAAAAAGCTTGCAACAGAAATATGTTTGACACTTTTTCTTGGTGTTGATTTTGAAGAAAGCAAAGAACTTGCAAGTAGAATATGTGAATTGACGACAACACATTGGCATGGTAAGCAAAGTTACACACTTTAGACACATACTATTAATCAGGAGGGGAACCTTATATAGCAAAATGATTTTTCCCTGGATTTATTCAAATTTTTTGCTTAATTAAGGTATATACAAAACTGTTCACAGAATTAAGACTTTGGAGTCTACAAGTAAATATTGAGTTCTAAATTTCTAGGATTTTGAGCCAATCACTCTATCAATAGAGGAAGAGGCTTGTGAATTTTACTGTTTTTCATTATGAATTAGAACTTAAAAATGGACTCATAGATTGTAGTTTTCTCAGTGGTTTTGTAACGGGAAAATTGCTTTTTTGCCATGAAAAGGCCTATTACATTGATTTTTTTGTGGAAGATGCTATTTAAAAATTGTCATGATTTCAAATCGGAAACTAGGAGTTAAATGTTTTAACTTAAAAGCCCTTGTCCTTCTACTTTTGATTGGATGATGCTACAAAGAATAATGTGATATTGTTTCATTTAACAGGCATAATATCAGTACCTGTGAACTTCAGAGTTCCATTTGGCACCTCATCAACATATTCCAAGGCACTTGAGGCAAAGGTAAGTAAATTGTCTTACTAGAACAAACCGAGTCATATTCACTTTATTTGTATTCATATGTGCATCATGTATCAAAGATAGATATTTCATTGTAATTACAAAAGTGCCTGTTCCATTTAGTTCAATAGATGTGATTACTGGAACAATTTGCCAACATTTACTTGTTCATTTTCAGAAACTATTATTGGAAATAATCCAGACAAAACTTCATGCAGAAGACACAGATGCTACATTTCCTCTTCAAGTCAGAGAAGCAGGTTTCAAAACTCCTATCCTCGCAGCCAATCACTTACTGCTTCTCACTTCAGCCTTGGTGCCAAAAGCTCTCGCCTCTCTTGTCACTTCCTTTGTCCTTGTCACATCCCAGTGGATGTCAAAATACGAGATTGAAGACATGTTGGATAATCAAAAGCATTTTGATGCTGTGTTATTAGAAGTGCAACGATTGTGGCCACCTTTTGCTGGAGGAAGGAGAGTTGTTAAAAAGGTATAATTGTTTCGTCTGAAATTAGTTTTATATGCACAAACTTACAAGAAATCTTTGTAGAGTCTGTAGTAAAAGTGTATGTTCCTGTTTCACCTCCAAGATATACCATGCCACCCAGATTGTGTTGTTTGCATGCTTTACTCATTCACATTTGCTGAATTAACAATTTTGGCAATAAAATAAAGGCTTGTATGCATAATTTTCCTTCGAATTCTTAACAATTTAAGTTTCTTTTAGGAAAACCAATTTAAATTCAGGTCATTAGAACAATGTTTCAGTTTAAGGTAATTCTTGGGTTTATATTTAATTTTCAACAAACAGGACCTAGTTTTATCTGCTGGTTATCGTATTCCTCATGGTCATGCTGTCCTGTACTGTACCCATGCCTCACACAGGGACCCCAAAGTCTTCCCAGACCCTGATAACTTTAGGCCAGACAGGTGGAGCAACAGGTACTAGTAGACCACAGTAAATGGTGCAATTATGTCTCAGGGATTTTACTTGGCAGAGATTTTACTTTGCAGAGATTTCTTGGAGTATTCTCTTGGCTAAATTTATATATGCTAGAGTTGGGTGTTGGTGTTGGTTATATATAAGTTATCTTTGTGGAAATTTTTCAATTTTTTTTCTCGTCTTTAATTCTAGTTTAAATAGTATGTATTCAGTTGAAAAATATTTCAGCATGCTTATGTGGAAAAAAAATGATAAAATGTGGATTTTATTTCTTCATTTCTACAGCTCTCTGTCCAAGGATTCACTTTTTTGTTTTGGTGGTGGGGCAAGGGATTGTGTGGGACAACATATTATGTGGAACATGCTGAGAGTAAGTTTTGCAGAAAGAAGGATGTTTACATCAGATGATCAGATGTATTACTACTTCTTATGTATTGATTCTTCTTTACACTTTTCAACTATTAACAGGCCTTTAGCCAGGGGAGGGTGGGTTGACCATTTTTGCAGAAAAAGGTTTTATGCCATTTCTCAAAAAGGTCCAATTTTCACAAAAAAATATTCATTTCTGATCACTTTCATTTTATAATGCTGGCTACAAAAAGTCTTAAAAGGGCTATATATATATATATATATATATTCAGCTACCAGTGTCAGAATTTTATAAAAACTTTTTTTCTAACTTTAATGAAATTGACCTGTTTTAATGCTTATTTGAACTACTTTAATGTCATTTTATCCAATTACAGACCATCTGTACCTCCCTCATTTCTCAGTTTACCTGGGAGTTAGAAGAAGGGCAGTGCCTGGAATACAAATGGCTGCCAGTGTCACGACCTAAGGATAAGGTTAAAGCAAAGTTCACAAGAAAATAGATGGAACAGTTGAAGAATAAGTACTCGGTTGTGCAAATCCAGGTTATTTATGTAAGCAGTCCAATTATGCATATAAATGAACAACTTGTTATTTTTGGAACAATATTTTTTCAAAAACATGACGTAACAAGTGACATGTATGTATCTTCATCTTAGACCCCATTCCCAGAGATTAGATCGATCCAACTAGATCGACCTAACTCCCTGGGGGTTCACGCTAAATAGCTGTCAGCCGAGCAGACACGAAAGTTAATTACCCCCTTACAGCTTGTAGTAGGCGGGACGGACATTGAAGCCGGATTATCTGACAGTAATCTAGCGAGACACCCCACGGGGATAGATCAATCTAAAATCTATGGGAATGCACCCTTAGGTTTGTGTGCACATTTGAGTGTATTAATCAGGGCTTGTCTTTCACATGGTAATGACTCAAACCACTTTTTTCCAATAGTGCAATGGATCAAATTTCCAGTTGTCTGAAAGTGATATGTGTATACACGTGTCAGTGATTGTAAAGGAGTAAATGTCATTTAACCCTGCACTGGTTATTATGGTTTATTGAAATTATTTTGCACGAGTGTCACAGAGATAATGAGATTTGCAAACATATTTTCTAGCCTTTTTGTGCATTTCTTCTCTACCATGTTTAATAATGTTTATCTTTATGTACTCAACTAGTTTATTCATTCCAAAAAACAGATTTCTTTGAGGGAATACATACCCAGCATTTTAATTAGCAGCATTATATACCTAGTCTCTGTTCTTTCATTGTTGAAAACTCATTCATTCCATTTATATTGTGGATATTTCACTTTGGAGCAATTTTCTCTATTTAAAGTCAAGAATCTCTTGATTTTTTGCATGTATTATATTTGTATTATATAAAAATCTTGAGATTGTTTATTTGAATTTAGAATCTTTTATTGCAAGTTTGTTAAATGGGGTGCTCACTTTATTGACAACGAAGGTTAAAAGTTAATGCCATATTACTTTCTATGTTGAAATGTTTTTCATACTTAAAATGTTTTTCCTTGTATAATGGAACACTGCATGTCTAGTGCTAGTGTCAGTTCCCTTGCAAAGCTGGGGATCTTTCGGTGCTTTTCAAAGTAGCCTAGTTAGAAACGATAATTCCATGCTTAAATGCAAATATTGCACTTCTGTTTAAGTAGTGAAAATCTGTTGTATTGTTTTTCATTAGTAGCTGCTAGTGTTATATTCACTTCGATGTAGGGAGTTGTCACTGTTAGTATATATGTAAAGAGAAGTGCTTTTCTAGTTTCAGTGTGAGCATTGGGCCCACTTACCACATTGTAAGGAGCACTAGTATTATCAGTAGACTAGGATAAGTTGAAGACTGCATTTAAACATATCTCAGCTATAAATGTTTTTGTCATCCCTGTTGCTTACAATAATTCCTAGTTTTGAATCTGCAAAATTATACAACTGGTCATGAGCAAGATGAAATGCCAATGGATTTTAAGATTTTATTATAACACTGAAAACAACTGTCATTTTAAGTATCTTTATTTTATTAAATTTTACATGTAACTGTGGAGTTAAAGACTAGATTAATATGCGGACACAATTTACTTAAAAGGTCATGTCAAATTATTATCATGACAAGACCTTTACTTAAAGGTCATGTCAAATTATTATCATGACAAGCCAAAAGATTTGACAAAATTGAAATGGTGCATGTTTATCTAATGTAAACTACCTCTAAAGAGGATGTAGCTATGCCAGAATGACTGATATTCTATTTATTTCTTGTATTTTTTAATGTAATGGTGTCCAGTAAATATTCTTTGAAACCACACGTTAGCAGGTTGTATTTCCTGCAGCACTTTCGTTTTGAAAGATTCACTTTTTTCAGGAAAATTTTCAATAAACAATATCAAAATACATTTTCAGATTTTTTTGTGATAAATCATTACAGATTCATCTAATTTGTCTGGAATATATTATATAATCGTAGAAAATTCACTCAGTAAGAAAGTCGAGTCTCTGACAACATTCTGATCACAATGACCTCATCACCACCATAAACAAATATGTCAGAATGCATCAATAATTCCATTAGACTTTTCAAACAATATTTTTGCCTCCATACTTTGTACGTATATCCAAAGCAGTTTGTAGTTTTACATTCTTGCCAGGTGTGAGTTTACCACTTGCTTCCCTTCTTTTTCTTCTTCTGCTTGTTCCCAGACTGTGGTTTCTGCTGCCTGGGTCCAGGAGCTACGGGACTAGGGGCAGACCCAGCCGCAGGGGAGGCTGAGCTTTCACCACTAGGCTTACTGGCATCTCTGCAAATGGAGAACATTATTTTAGAAAAGGCACACAGTAACAAATTTTTCAGCCTGTTTCTATTTAGTACCAGCTGCTGTTAAATGACACAAATGGAAATGTGTTCACAATAACACCTGTTTTATTTGAGTTATTATGCTGACATGGCATTCAGCTTTTTGTTTATCATGTTGCACAGTAGCACCTATAACTTTAAAATACTTACAGGTCAGCACCACCTGAAGTTGCACCCTGAGCTCCACGGCCTGTGAACAAAAAATATAACAATATATAATTGATAAAATTAATTAATTGATAAAATAATAAGTAATAACTCTTTATGTGAACCTGCAGTTTTGTAGAAACTATCATTGCAATTTTGAAAAATAAAAAAGAGAAAAAACTGTAGTGCTTTATGATGTGATGGCCCAGTTTTTGTATCTAAAAATCTGGCAAAACTGCTATTTATTTATCAGTTACTTATGTACTGATATGACCACCTATCTTTTTTTTATTAAATAGAACAGCACTAAGGTATCTGCTGTATACAAAACAACACTTCGATATGTGATAGCAGCAGTATAGATAGCTTACCAATCTCTTTTCTTTTGTCCTTTCTTTTGCCTCTGTAGTAAGACCGCTCTTTCTTGGGCAGCCATCTTTCAGGATCAGGATCACTACCAGGATCATAGTTCTTAGGCAGTTTACCTACATTAAAAAAGAAAATGTATAAATACTTCAAATTTTGATTTCCTATGTTACATTTGCTTCGTATCAATACCCTCTCTTTATCAGAAAAATTCAAAAATTTTATGTGCATACTTAAACATGCTACATGATATTCAAGCCTTATTCTGATGGGTTGGTTAATTTATTCAAAATATGCCAAGGTCTCAAAAGTTACCTTTTAGATTCTAAAAATCTGCATTTCCATCATCTACCGACTAAAATCACTCAAAAAAAAAATTCTGATGAAATCAAAAATTTTACTGATGTCAAACATGTTTTTATAGTAAATTCTTACCCTTCTTGTGTTTTTTCTTTCTTTTCTTCTGAAGCAACTCATCGTCAGTGCCACTGTAAATATAAACATTTGATGACTAATTGGTCAAGTAATTTTCTGTCTGCTGCAGATGTAAGTGAAAATATATTACTAGAATAGAAATGCCTTTGAGAATAAAAGTACTACTACAGCCAAATGTGGCAGTGAATAGCGAACTGTTGAGGGGTAAAATAAAACATGAGCAAGACTAAGTTTCTATAACAGCAATTATTATACCTACATGTTTTGCATGACTCTTGTACTGTAAGGTTAGTCGTCTTATTTTTATAATGTAAAGTAATAAAGACATCTAATAAAGACTTACGGTCTAGGCGACTCCACCTTGGTCGACTTTTTAATGTACTTAGGTCCCATGACATTGATGGACTTTTCCAAAGCTTCTACATCCAATTCCTGGGCAATCTCCGATGCTGAGGGTAGGGATTTGCTAAGTCTAGGGAGTGGTTAAGTTTTAACAATACTTCTTAGGTGAATCATATTATACAGACTTCCTAAATTGCTTGTTGTTTTGTATTAATAGTATAATATATTTATGCTCTTTATAAAATCTTTCTACAAATGATCACAATAATTATCAAACTGAGAAAAAGCATTTGTGCAATATTCTCTTAAACCACAGATATAATGCCCTGTGCATTAATGCAAAAATATCCTAAAATAAATTTGCTTTGAACATCTAAGGGATATGCTCATTTTTTCTAGACACTGAAAACGGAAAAGGATACTCCTGTGCTTTGGCAGGGTTAAACTTAGAGTAAGCACTGATAAGCTGGGCTAATATCTTGCTGTCCTTCGGTTTTTGTCTGGAAAAGTATATCAAAGAGGTTAACTTTCAAAGAACATGAAAATATTGTTTATTTAACTTAAATAATTTTAAACTGAAATAACAGTTGAATGGTAAACATAATGCCATTCTTACTTTCTTAGCTCTTCCAACAATTTAGCAGCCATTTCTGCACTGCCATATCGCAGCTGGAAGTTGGCATTGGATGTCATCAAAGTAGCAGTCTCTTCGGAGTTTGGCTAAAATGTTGTAAAAATTACATTATTTTATTAACAACAGGTCAATTAACGTTTCATTTGAACATGCATCACCTAAATACAAATACTCCTTTCTTAAGCCATATAAGAACAAAAAAATGCTAAAAATTACCTAGCAAAGAGGTACTAAGTTTAATTTGCTTTCCTAAAAGAACTCATGTTTTCAATTTTCTCTGTATTTTTTGGGGCGGGAGGGGGTGGAATATCAAACTCACATTATTTTTCTTCCACCAATCAACAGCCTGGTTCAGCACCTCTGAGGCTGAGGCTCTGTCTTCTTCTTTCAAGTACAAGCTGACCAAAGCAGAGACCTGTAAAAAACATAAGAACACGCAATCATTTACACATCCATCTTCATAAAAACAATTTTTACAAAAGGATAAACACATCAAGGTGATATCAATGAAACATGTTTAGTCTCTTTCAAGTTATATACTTTTTCTTATCATCATTACACAAAACACAATATAAGCATCCCAGTTACAATAGAAATCAATGTAAGATCTAGTTCCATACCACTCCTGGTCTGAAGCTGTGTTCTCCCAGTGCCCTGAGGTTCTCACAGGCTGGGTAGACCATCCCCTGGAGAAGGTTCAGCTGGGCCAGGGTCAACTTGATACTCACAGACTGCTCTGGATGGCTGGACACATGCTCCTTTTATATAGAAAACAATGGAGATTTGGTTAATTCAGTTGGTACACAAGGTACGGCACAGCCAAACAGGGGTGTAGAGAGAATTCATTTTCATCTTTATCACAGATTCTATTAGGTTCAACTCTTAAGCAGTTTTTTTTTTACTGTGAACAGTTTACTCTATAAATTATTCATTTATAGAATTATCATTTCAACAAGATTGTGCTTGATATCAAATGGACAACTAAATATTGTCATTTCTATTCAACGTAAAGACCTTAATCATACACATATTTAGTAAACCTTGCCACTTCAGCTATATTTCACCAATTCTTAATTCATTGACTGAAACTGTCAGTGATAACTAAATGTAGAATGTTGCCTGTAACAGCCTTAAGATAGCAAATATTTCCCACAAAATTCTTCTCACCTGTAAAGCCTCTACAGCTTTGGGGATCTGCTTATCCTTGACACACTGAGCTGCTATGATCAGACTAGGTTTGTCACTCTCTGGGTGCATGGCTTGAAGAGCTTTAGCACTCTTACGGCACTGCTCACCCTATGGGAAAACACAGTAAATTACAGAGGGTAATTAAGTTCTCTGTAATCAAGCTGACAATTGTTTAACTTCGTTACTTTTGAAAAAACAGCAACCAGAATGCCATATTATCCTTACCAAAGAAATTTACCAAATATTCTCAACTGCAGACTTGAAGAATCCTCAAAAAAACTCCCACATATACTATCACAAATACAAGCATAAATGTGAAAAGTCATAATGACAGTTACAAAATATAACAATTGGTTTATCAACACATAAAATCCATATGGCAATTCTGAACCTAATAAGCTTAATCAGGATTCAACTGTAGTGGTGACACTGATGCAGAATCAATTATATACATAATACATGTCTGTGTGCAGCTTTTAAGGCAAAGTTAAATGTGTATGTGTTCCTTTCCCTCCTTACAAACTACTTTTGCCTTCTTTCACTGATTTCTCCTACCTGGTTGGTATACATGAGAAGCAAGCACTGGTTCAGCTGGATAGCTTGTTTTTGAGCTGAAGTAAGCTTCTGTTGTACTCCTTCTGATGTAGCAGTTTTCATCTTCTTTTTGGAATCAAATACATTCTGGTCCTGAAAGTCAAATATTGAAAAGATTTAATCAAAATGTGTTTAATTTTTGATACAAAATAATAAGAATAAAATAATAATAGTATCAATAAAATAAAATAAATACACTTACACTGTATAATAATTATTGCCATTCCAATGCATTTACATCAATGAATACTGACAAAACTCTAAATGATTACTGTAAGATACACTAAAACTTTGGTACTGAATAAACTGCTCCATAGTAAGGAATTGTTTGATGCTAAAAAGTTATAAACACAGTGGCTTAAAATTCATAATCAACCCACCTTGTTGAGACTGACAACATTGTTTGATGCTACAGCAGTCAAGGCAGCATCAGAGGGTCTGAAAAAGGCATTTTAATTTTTATTTCATTTGATATTGAAGGATATTATTAAACAACTTAAAAACAATAATTTTATCTTTCACATACAATCTGATTTCAAATGTGTATATAAAAGTAAGCACATGTATCAACCACTGTACAAAATCAATTATCTTCACTTACTTTTGTTTTACAACCAGGTTGTAAAGCTTCAAGGCTTCCTCTGTTCTTCCTTGCATCTGTAATGCAAACCCTAGCTGCACCCTAAAAATAACTAGAGGATCAGAGAGGCGATACCGCCTCCGAATATTGTACCACCAGCTGGAGCAAGCGCATTCGTATAGACCCCCACATACACAAAATAAGGGACATAGCCGACAGTTTTGTGCTTGACAAGCTGTAAAAATGCAATCAACAAGAATTTTTAAACTATTGCAAAAAATATATATGGTACAATCAAATTTAAGTTCTTCGTAAGGTAGGTCAAGGGTCAATTTCAAGGTCACAGTAAATTGCCAGTATATGACTTCCTATTCAAGTTCAAGAGTAACTATGGACCTATCTCTGTCAAGTTTGAAGTTAAAAGAGAAAGAAATTAGCAGAGTTCAGTTCATGATAAAAAGTAGGTCAAAGGTCAATTTCAAGGTCACA